GAGGAACCACCAGGCCCCGGGCTGCTTTGGCAGGTGTGTGGTGGGCAGAAGAAGCCAGGTCAGCCAGGGCTGGGTCTGAGCAGTGGGTCAGGATCAGGCTTTCAAAGGAGGATGATTGGGAGCTTGGAAAGAGCCTTGGTGGGAGCCTGGATGTGGGGAGCATCTGCCCCAAAGTAGTAGAACAATAGAGTTGATGAAGTCACCGGGAGCTGCAGGTAGAGGGCAGCAATGGACACCTGAGTTTGCCCTGCAAGGAGCCAGCACTGGGCTGCGGGGGGCAAGAAGGGAAGGTGGTCCCAGAGCAGGGGCAGTAGTTGTTAGGAGCCACTCATCCCCGGTGGTGGTGGCAGGAAAGCAGCTGGCATCTGGAAGTGGATGGCAGCCATAGGGGGCCTTGCCCCCAGGGTGCAATGGGGCAGCTAGGTAAAGAACTGCGTGAAGGGGCGGGGGCAGCAGCAGAGGGGTTCCTCATCCACCTGCTCAGCTAGGACCGGTGCCATGGACTCACTTCACTCCCAACCAGACCTCACAATCTGGGAGCAGGGAGACCCAGGTGGACCTGGTGAGGCCTTGTAGGGATGCAGGCCTAGTGGGCTCTGTAGGTACCTCTCAGAGTGGAGGGGAGGCAGGGGAAGGGTGGGGGCCAGGTCCCAAGGAGGCGCTCCATGAGAAAGCAGCCCCTATCCCTGGTTCAGGTCCTTTCAGACTCAGCACTTTGCTGGTAGGAAGCCTAAAGACCCCGTGCCAATTCCCCCAGGAGGCCAGGGCTGGCGGCGGCACAAGATAAACAAATTAGTCACTTTGTTGAGGTTGGCCTGGTCAGTGACGGGGACTGAGCCAGAGACCTGGCAGCCCAGGTCTGTGTGGCCTGGGTGACATCCCTTTACACACGTCCCAGGGGCCTGTGTTGCCTGCTGGGCCTCTGGACGTGGGGGCGGGGAGAGAGGATCAGGGAGGGTGATCTTTACCCACCTAATTGCCTCTCAGGAGGCGGAGCGGAGAGAGAGGGCAACTGGGGCTGACCAGCATTCCCTGGGGAGACTGTGTAACGAGGGACAGTAAGACCATCTGCGCACATGGACGTGTGTGAGTGCCTGTGTGCCTGTGTGCACAGGTGCGCATTGCGCATGGGTGTGTGAATGTTTGCATTGTGCACACATATGTGTGTGTGTGTGTGTGCATGGGAACCTGTGTGCATGTGTGTGCCTCAAGTGTGTGTGTGTGTGTGTGTGTGTATGTGTATTGGTGGGGCTGAGGCTGGTGAGAGGTGCTCAGCCCCTTGGGGATGCCCAGTCCTGGTGGGGTGAGGGTCTGACTGATAAATGCAGGCATCTGGTGTTCAAGCCAGTGCTTGTTGAGTTGCACGTTCGGGCCCCACATCAGACTCCCTGGATAGGGATTTTGCACGAGCCAAGCTGTATGTTTACTAGGCTTCTCGAGGCAGGGTAAAGTGAGGGGAAGACAGCTGGCTCATGATTTGTTGGGAACCTGCAGCAGGCTACCCCACTCCACTCCTCCTCAGTCTGATAAGACTGAGGCAGGTCCCCTCACTCTGGTCATTTTAGAAGGGCCCTTGGGGAGATTGATGCAGGGATCTGGGTGAGCAGGAAGGTGGGGGCCCACAAGAAGAGGGCACGTGGTCTGAGGACCAGGGAGCAGTTTGCTCTTTACTGCTTTTCTCTCTTGCCTCTGGCTGAGGGGTACTAGGGAGCTCTGGGAAAGGCCACCCTTCTCCAAGGTGGATCTGTCAGGAGGATGTTGGCTAACTCAGGGACCGGCCACCTCAACCAGCTATCCAATGCATCTGGAAGCATTAAAAAGAAGTAGAACTAGAGACCTAATCAGGTCAATAAAGTCAGTTTCTGGGTGTGGGTCCTGGACACGGGTCTTAGGTTCCCAGCCACTGAAAGGTGATCCTTACAGCCTGGACTTTCTGATCTCTGCCAGCCGGACAATGAGGGTGGGGGGAAGGGTTGGTTCTTTCCCCAACCAGGTAAAAGGTTTTGCCTTACCACCGTTGCTGTAAGTACTTGGGCAGAGTTTGGAGGGATGAATGGCTCAAATTTTGACTCAGGAGCTGGCTAAGACCACAGGATCACCAGCCTTTTCAAGAGACGCTGAATTACAGAGGCATGAGCTGCACAGTTGCTGTGGAGGAGGGGTGGGGAGGGGTGGGGAGGGGACACCAAGATCCCCGCCTCAGGTATGGCCATGAGATTCCTTATCTCCAAGCCAGAAGAAAGCACGGAGTTGTCCATTAACAGCAAGTTTTTAAAACATAAAGGGCAGAAATATTTGGAGGCTTAAAGCAGGTGAGTTTGTAACTAAGAGGAGAATCCCGTGGATAGATAGGTAAGTTTTCAGTTCAACCCTTGGCTTTATGAACCCAGGCTTTCGCCTGCTTCTGATATCTGTACAGAAGTAGAACACTACTAAAGACAATGCAATCAGCAAAAGAATCCCGTCTAATTTATTTTCCTAAGCCTTCACTCTTTTGCAGTACATTCAACAAAGTGTCCCCCACCTTTAGCTAAGTTACTTATTCACAGGACCTGAATTGCAATGAAAAAAAAAAAAGATACAATAGAAAAGGACATGGACTTTAGAGTCTGAAATAGCTGAGCGTAGAGTTGGCCTCGCCCCTAACTAGCTTTGTGGGCGGAGGCAAGTTTATGTCTCCTATGCACCCCCCACCCCCCGTTTATTCATTTGTGAAATGGGCCTAACAACGTCTACGTGCTTACTTGGCAGATGTGCTGGGAAGGTGACACGGAATAATTTCTGTGACGATTCCAGTATGGTACCTGAGAGAGTTGGAGCTTTGAACACAGAGCAGCCATAATTAAAATGTCCATATTCCTCAATGTGTGGGTAACGCAGTCTCTTGTGTGGTCTCGTCTGCCATTGCACAGGTGTTGGGCCTGAGGACTTGACCGAGGCCCTCCAACCCCACGTTTCATGCTCTTTCCACACATTCTCCTGCTAGAGACAGTGCCACTTCAACGAAGCACCTGGTAGTGGGTGGCAGGGACTCTGGCATTAGGGGAGACAGCAGGAAGTCAAACTCAGGCACTGGAGCATCTCTCGGGGAATGACTGGGGACCTCAAATCACAGAGGAGGTGCCTGCTGGATGCTTCATGCCAACTCACAGTGACAAGAGCTGGAGAGCTGTGCACATCACCATATCCAGACCAAGCTCACTCTGCCATCTGTCCCACTGGGCCATCTAAGAAGGTGCTGCTGCTTCACTCTGCCTGACGGCTGGCCCTGGTCTCCAGCAGCCCCTCAGCCAGTATCAGTGTCAGTCGATGCTGATTGATTGTTGGAAAACCAGCTCAAGACTCCACCCTCCAGACATATAAATACTCGTGTGTGTGTAGACACGTGCTTATGTCTTTATTTACTGCAAAAACCTTAAGGAATCACCTGCATAGAAATTTTAAAACATGCCACGTTTTATTGAGACATCTCCTCCGTCTGCAGAGTAGGTGACTACAGACAGCACACTTAGACCTTTGCTTTTGGTGGATACGTTTAAAAAAACCAGTGACTGAACCCTGTTCCTGTGTCACAGATGTCCATTTTTGTGAATCTGGATACCATAAAATGAACAGGGAACAGTTGAGAACTAATCAAAGAAATTGGGTCCCATCTGGGAGCTCCCTACATAGAGAGGACCCAGCCCATGGCCTGCTATGGAAGAAGAGGACAGAGAGCTTTTTTTTTTAAATCTCAAAAATAATAAGTGAATTTAAAAAAAAATGATGATGGGTACATGTGATTAAATTTTTTAAAAAAGGGGTGAGGGCTAGGACATCAATAGAAAAATGGGTAAAAGGCATACACATATAATCTATATGCAAACATTTTAAACCTAAAGTTTTTTATTTCATTAGTAATCAGATATATCTAAAATAGTACCCCATTAAAATGAAGTATTGCCTTTGCCTATAAAAATAGCAAATGACTTCTTATTTGTAAGGGCACTGCCAACCCTGATGACCACACGCCAGGCCAGGGATATACCCACTGTTGGAAAAATAGTTAGGTTAAAGTATTCCAAGAGCCTAGAAATGTTGATATCATTTGGCCCAGTAATCTTATGCTTGGGATCATCCTAAAGAAAGCCTCGGAAGCTCAGAAAAAAAAATATTGTAAGAAAATAATAATGGAAGCCAAAATGGACATCAGTAGGTAAAGGTGAGGTACTTCATGTTCTCACAATGCACCGTTTTTCAGGTGTAAAAGTAGGTTTATGCAATGTTTGAGAGAAATAGGGAAATTCTTACCTAGCTAAGCTTTTCTTTTCTTTTTTTTTCTTTTTTAAGCAGCATATAAATGTTATACAAAGAACAATCTCAACTGCACATGCTTGGGAAACAGAAGCTGCCTCTGGTTGATGGGATCAGGAGTAAGCCCTTCTTCTTCCTGTTTTTTTTTTTTTCTTTACAAAATATATGAATTAAGAAAAAACACTTGGACTTTGGGGCTAAGAACAAACTTTATCCAATGCCCTGAATTTATCTGTTTTCCCCAAATATTTACATCTGCAGTCACCAAATACATTCAAGACTACGAAAAAAAAAAAAAAAAGCCCCTCAAAGTCAAATAAGGTCAGTGCCAGGAGAAACCAAGGAGGAAAATAATGGGGGATCGATGGGGAAAGGGACCCAGCAGCACTGGCTAGCAGAAAGCCACCCGAAACCCTGGCACATTTCCAGCCCGCGCCGTCCTCTGGGCCCTGCAGACAACCGGGCCGCGTCTGGCCTCCGATAATAGAGGGGCAGCAGGTAAGCCTTCCTCGCGCCATGTGTGGCCAGGCTCCTCTCTGAAGCCTCATTGCAGACCTCAGGGACAGTGTGGCCGGGCTGCGTCCTTGTTGAGTCTCCATCTTTGCCCATGATCCTTTTAGTCCCCTGAGGCTGAGCCGTGCTCAGGGTTAAGGATAAAATATGAATAAAAGCAGCTCCCACTCTCAGGCCGTCTTGCCGCTTGATGCCTAGAAGTCCAGGTCTTCTTGGTGGAAGCCATCTGCCCCTGGCCCCGCCCCCGCCGAGGCACTCGGGGAGCTTTGGGGGGCCTTCTCATTGCCTTCGCCGCAGTCTCTGCCTGACCCCTGCTCTAGAGTCTCTGGGTCTGAAGGGGGCTCCTCATGCTCAGAAGTGGAACTCTCCGGATACATGGAGGTGACTTTTTCCTCTGCAGGTGGCTCTGACTCGGCCCCAGTGTCCCCGGGGTCTCCGCCTGCCTGAACTTCCTCTGAGCCTTTCTGGGAGACCAGGGAGCAGTTGCCCAGGGTGAAGGTTCTGGAGGAGCAGTCATGGGTTTGGGGGTCTGGCCCCGGGTGAGGGGTGTCCTCACTTGGGGCAGGTGACGGTGGGGTCACCTCTTGGTCTGTGATGCTGTTTTCAGAAGCCTCCCTTCTCTGTCCCTGTCCCAGGCTAGCTAGAGGGCCACCTTCTTCCTCACCTTGACTTCCTCCCGCGGACTCCAGCCGCCTGCCTCCTCCAGCTTCCTGGGCCTCTGTGGCATCGACACCGTCACCAGGTCCTCCTGCAGCCTCCGAGGTGTCCCCCTCCCCAGAGTGCTCACACATGGCTCCTTCCTTCTCAGTCACAGCCTGCTCCAGCTGCTCAGCCTCCTCCGCGGTGCTGCCATGGCGGCTGTGGGCTCTCCCGGCCTCTGCATCCCCCACCTTCTCCTGGTAACCAGCCTCCTCCTCGGCCTCCTCTAGCTCAGCGTCTTCGTCTCTGCTGGGCCGCTGGCTCCCCTCACCCTCACTCTCCTTGCCCACCGAGGGTCCCAGGTCCTGACTCCCATCAGCTCCCTGGACAGACCCGGCTCTTGCGGGGATGTCCCGAGGCAGCTCTGTCCCTGTCTCCTCGGGGGCCCTCTCCTCCGCCTCTCCATCAGTACCCCCTTCTTTCTTCTTCTGAAGATTTTGCAGAATTTGCTGTAGGTCGAAGGCCTTTTTGATAGGTGCACTGGAGGCCCCTGGGGTGTCCTTTGGAGGCACAGGGGACACTTTCTTCCTAATGCAGGCCTCACAGGGACAGAACTCGTCTTCCTCAGTCTCCCCACGTGGCAGGTCCCCTAGGGCTTCATGGAGGGTGGGCCGGTCCTCCAGGGTGAAGGAGTGGAGGGCCCGGGCATAGGTCTGCTCAGAAAAGGCCAAGAGGTTGTGCAGACCCTGGAGGCGACGCCGGCGCTGCTCCGTTTGCAGGGACGCTTGTCCCCTGAGGACCTCCCTGGGTGGCCCCAGGGCCATCCTCCCAGTCCGGCTCTCTATCTTCTGGAGTTCTTTGTCAGTGCTTTCTTGGAGCCGGAGGCCTATGTCCTGCTCTAGCTCGGCCACCATCTGGTCCAGCAGAGGGTTGTCCTGCAAGTCCCAGCGGGCGCGGAGCTCGGCAGTGGCAATAGCCAAGTGCTTCATGAAGGCCTTCTCTATCTTCCTCAGCAACTTGGACACCCAGGTGGGGTCAGGCTCCAGAAACACTCCGTGGGCCGCAGATGCACTGGACTCCCCAGTCCCTGGGGTGAACCTGGCCGGGGCTTGCTCACAGCCCAGCACATCAGCTCTGGACAGCTCTTCCAAGCTGGACTTTGATGTGGGGCCAGTTTGACGCTCACTGGCATTGGAGTCCCTCTCACTGAGAGGACGAGGAGGGCATTCTGCGGATTCCTCTGCGCTTCCTGGGGGACACAGCCCTGCAGAAGCAGAGTCTCCTCCTGCTTCCTCTTCCGGCACCCCCGGGTCTCCCAGTGTGCCTTCCCCACCTGGTGACTCCTCCCCGCTGACTCCGGCTTCTTCTAGGAGCCCCGCCTCCTCGACGCCCTCTTCTGGGGGGCTTTCTGTCTCTTCTGTTTCTTCTGATTGCGCCTCCGCTTCCTGCAGCGTGTTTCCAACAAACCCTTCGGGGTTGTTGTCTGATTGCTCCAGGCCATCGCCCAGCATCTGCTCCCCGAGGCCGCCTCCTTCTTCCCCGCTGGTGGCACAAGCGCACACCTGGGAGCTGGGAGAAGCTGGGAGACCACTTGGCTGCGGGGTTCCCAGGTCCTCCAGGTGCCCCGAAGTTCTGGAATCAGGCCTCTGGGAGATTTCCAGGGGCAGCTCCGTCCTCTCGGGGACCAGGGCACCATCCGTGGCACAAGGCACGCTACCCTCCCCGGAGCCTCCGGAGCCACTGCTGACGTCCACACCGGAGGAAGAGGTGGGCGTGAAGTTGTCCGTCACCTGCGGGGCCTGTAGTGAAGTGAGGTCCCCAAGACTCAAGTCCAGCATGCCTCGCCCAAGGCCACACCCTGGCCACAGGGTCTGGGAGATGTTCAGCAGCTCCTGGTAGCGCACTGAGTGTGTGGGTCTCACTTTGCCAGCAGGAGACCCAAGATCCTCATCAAAGAAGTGGAGCCGGGCGAGGCAGGCAATGAGGTCACCTGCCAAGCGGCGGAGCCGCCTGGCCTCAGCACTGGACACCTCTGGCAGGCTGCTGGGTCGGCCGTGCTTGGAGCCCATCAGGGCCTTCATGATCTGCATGGAGGCAGAATCTCTGCCCGGAAGGACACACGGGCTCATGCCATGGCCCACAGTAGCCCCTTCTCCCACTCCAGCCTCCGACACAGCCTTGGATGCCTGGCCCGGAGCTGTACCTTGATGAGAACCGTCTCCTGGCTTGGAGCCCGCGTCACTGGTTCCTGGAGGGGTTCTGTCTGGCTCATGGGTACCCCCTTCCAGGGCCTGCCGTCCAGCCTGAGCCTGTTCCTCAGTGCTGCTCAAAGAGTGATCCCCTTCAGGGTCCTCCCGGGGGCCTTCTGGGATGTTGCTGACCACACCTGTGGCCTTGGCCACCATCTCATGCCTCATGTGCAGGGGCTCTTCTGGGATGTTGTCCAGCCATTCGCGGACCATGGCATCCAGTGAGGAGTGGGGCAGATCATTGGGCGTCATGGTGCCATCTTCCCGAGGCTCCTCAAGGCCACCCCCATTGCCAGAGCTGGTCCCCAGCAATACACTCTTGGGCCCAGAACCGGGGCTGGTCCTGCCTGCCACCATGACTCTTGCCCCCATGGTCCCTGACTCAGGGCCAGGGGACAGCCCCCCCTCCACCTGGAGTTTTTCATCCCCCAGCCTGCTCCTGCTTGGCCCCCCGTCAGCCCTTTGGTGGTCACGGCTGGTGCTACTGCTGCTTGTTGGGTGCTTCCTGGCGCAGGGCCGGCCCCTGGGAGGAGTGGGGCAGTAGCCACTGCACACCCAGCAGGCTTCAGAGAAGGGCCCCCAGGCAGCCTTCGCTTGCTCACTGGGGCTCCCCTGGACAGGGGAGGACCCAGTCTGTGGGCAGCAGCAGCTTTTGTGGGCTCCTGGCTCTTCTCCCTCGGGACATCCAACTGGCAGAGCCAAGGGCAAGGAGGGCTCTAGGGTGTCCTCTGCCTGGTCCCCCAGACTGCCACCCCCTTGCAGGGGCTCTGGGGAGCACACCTTGCCCTCGGTGTCCCCCGCCAGTTCTGCAGCACAGTCTGAGTTACTCAGGAGTGTGGTGCTGGCACTGCTGGCCTCTGGTAGGTCCTGGGAATCCAGAGAGCCAGGGACGGATGGTCCTAGGTCCCTGGAGGCCTGTTTTCTGGTGCTGGATGAGTTCTGAGAAAGCGGTGGCCCTGGACCACCTGGGCCAGCCCTGGGCATCTGTAGGGCTGTGGGGGAGTCTGGCAGGCAGTGGGTGTCCCTGCAGTGGTGACACCGCCTGGCACGGCCTCTCTGGACCACGCCGGCAGTACCAGGTGAGGACACTGCGCTAGACGGGCTCTGCCGCTTCCTCCTCCCCAGCTGGGCAGGGGCGTGAGCGAGAAGCCGGGGACAGCCTCCCTCTGCATCCCAAGAGTGGGAACGGCCTAGAGCCAGCGGTGGCCCCGTCACGGGTCCCTCCGTGGCCTGCTGGTGTGTGGTGCCCTGTTCACACTGCTCTGCTTGCGAGTCCCCGTCGCTCAGAGGTGAGAGACTCCTGGTGGGAGCATCAGTGCTACTGCCCTGGGAGCCCTTCTCCCGGGAAGTCCTGACCCTCACTGGGCTCAGGCAGCCCTCATGCTGGCCATCCCACTTGCTGGACTCCTCATGAGGCCCGGGACTGGCCAAGGAGTCAGAAAGGGCTCCCTTTGCACCTGGGATCCCTGGTCCCGGGCAGCCATGTTGTCCTTGGCCACCCAGCTCTGCTTCCCCTGGGCAGGAGCCCTCACCAGCCTCCCTCTCATCCCCACACTGGGAAGCAGCTGTGGAGGCTGGACATGGGCTGTCACTGCCCACGCCACCCTCGGGGGTCCTGGGGCTGTAGGAGTCTGGCTCGGAGCCTTCCGCGTGTCCGGCACTAGAGGAAGGGCTGACGCTGTCCCTACTTTGTCTTTCCCTGTTCCTGGCCCCTCTACTCCAGCGGCCCCTGCACTGAGAGAGCTGGGCTGGCCCTGACCTCCTCCAAGGAGCCGACCCTTCACCCTGGGGGACATACAGGGGGTTCCTCCAGATCTCGAAGCTCGGCCGTGGCTGCTGGCCTCCATCAAACGCTCCCTGATGTCCTGCCTCGCAGGGACCCGGTCTCTGTGCCCCTGACTTTGAGAAGCCCCACGGGTGGCCCCCCCATCGGCAGCAGCGGGGGCTCCCCTCCCCCAGGACGGGGCCCTCCCCGCTGGCTGCTGTGAGGGTGCTGGCCCTTCCCGCCCTGTGGGACCACAGCAGCGTCTCCTCGCCCAGGAGGTGCAGGCGGACCTTCATCTCCACAGACAGGCTGCCGTCCTCGTTCATGCAGACCTTCTTCTCCACGTTGTCACCAGCCAGCAGCGGGCCAGACGTGTCCTGAGGGTGCCTGTCGGGGGCACCATGCAAGGATGCTGAGGGGTCTCTGAGACCAGACAAGGAGAACTGTGACGGTCTGCTGCTGGCCGTGGACCTCAAATGGATCACGCTCTGCTTGGCCTTGGGCCCCCAGCAACCTGGCGTGCAGTGGAGAGCAAGAGGAGAGAGAGGGCAGTGAGCCAGCGGGGACGACGCGGAGGGCACCCGCCGCCTCCCCACTGCACGAAGGGAGTCAGAGCTGCCCACAAGAGCCTGCGGAACCTGGCAGGAAGAACAGAGAAGGGTCCCAGCGACCTGTTGGACCACTAGGGGGTCCCCAGAGGAGGGGCAGCAACATGACAAGTCATGAGCTGGACTCATGAGGAGTCCAGAGAGGGGGGTGGCCAGCATGAGGGGCCTGCCTGAGCCAGGCAAAGGCCAGGACTTCCCAGGAGAAAGCCTCCCTGAGCGGCAACCCTGATGCACCACCAGGAGTCCACCTTCCACGCTCCTGGCCACCAGCTGGGTGGCTTTGGGCAGAACTCTTTCCTGAACTGTGAGAGAAGCAGAACTGCACAGGTCCGAGAGGCTTGCTTTGAGGATGTGCGTGTGGCCAGCCATGCATCTAAAGCCACCAGTACAGAGCCAGCAGGGCTGCAGGGGTCAGTGCTGGGCTCCTAGCTGCAGGCCAGGAGGCACCTCAGCACACTGCCGCCTGCAGCCCGACTCACACTGGAAAAGGCTCTGCGATTACCTGTGGTGATTGATTTCACCCTTATCAAGCTCTTGGGCTGATAAATGACGGCCAGGAAGGGTCCCGATGCACACTATCAGGCCCTGGTCACCCAGCCTGCACCCCATCCAGAAAAACAAGAAGGAGCCAGTGAGGATAGAAAGTGGCCCCGGGGAAGAACGGGCCCACTGAGGGATTTTTCCTCTCATTTCCTGAGCTAGGCGTGGTGACAGGGCAGGGCGGGCAGAGGCTGAGCCCGTGGCCAGCCTGGCAGACCCTGTGAGCACATCTGGGCACATCAGGGAAGCCTAGGGCTCCTCTGAGAGGGGCCTGGGCTGATGCCTTGTGCCTCTGGCCCAAGCATGGCATGGTCACTGAAGGCACCAGGGTTGGTGTTTTCTTAGTTTACTTGTTAAGGTTTGCTCGTCATCAGTCCAGTCATTTGGGTTTGATTTTTTATTCACCTCTGTTCATCATGCCTTTTAAGTGGTGTGATGTTTGATAACAGAGCCTCGGCCGTGACCCATGCAGGCGTGTGACCCCTGGTCAGGGTTTTTCAGTGCTAGTGGCCCTGCTGCAGGCCGCCCGCTGCCTAAGACAGCCAGGGCTCTCAGAGGATTCGAGTATCTGCACACACCAGGCCCTTTCTGCCGTGAGGCCAGGCCCACTGTGTCCCTCCGCAAGTTCTTTAGACCCTAGAAACTTCCAGCTCAAGATTTCCTAATTCCTGTTCCTTTAAATACCTCATTCCGCCTTCTCCCATCCCCATAAAATGCTCAGCCCAGTTAAGGTTGGCAATTAAGAGAAGGACAAAGACACAAGAACCGAGGCCAGCGGGCACATTTCCCCAGGTGCCTGGAGGTAGCTGCTCAGCCCTGCCAGCCCACCACGCAGTGCAAATCAGATTGGAGCCTAAAGCAAACTCACTGTGTTTGTTCCTTGAAGTCATCCCAGATAAAGTCTCAGTCTTGTTTTTCTGGGTGCTTTCCAGAGCTGGAGGTCTGAAGGCCTCGTTCCCAGCACACACCAGCGTGGAGGGGCCGCACAGCAGGGCCTGCAGGGAGTCCACCTGCAGAGGACAGCGTGAGCAGAGACCTCGATGCAGAGACCCCCTGCTCGGGGGCCACAGTGGGGAAGGATCAGCCTTTCAGCCCTTCCTGACATTTGTACATCATACCAGAGCGGCGCCTGCCACCCCCAGACGCTCCCTGCTGGCCAGGCACTGGTACCTCCCACGTGGCCTCCACTCTAGCTCTCCCTCCACCAGGTGTGAGCCTGCTTTGGAAGGAAAGAAGGTTGGAGCCCTCAGGCTTCTACCCTGCCCACATGTCCACCCTCCAGAGTGTGTTTCCTAACGCGGCTGCTGCAGAAAGCCCTCCAGCCCCAAGTAGAGCTGGACTCGACATTCCCCCCCCCCCCCCCGTTTTCCCAAGCAGAGTCCTCTCTGGTGTCTGACCTGAGTTTTCTAGGGTAATCCGAGCCCATTGCCTCTGCCTCTGCCCAAGTGGAGTGGAGGGGGCAAAGAGCTGCTCGCCCAGCAGCCCTCGCTGCCTCCGTCCCGCAATGGTGTCCAGGCTCCTAACCCCCACTGGGCCCAGCACCAACCACAGCGTGCCCTGCCCTCTCCTGAGTCAGAGCTGAGCAGGCTGGAAACAGCCCCTGCTTTAGAAAACAATCTCACCTGGCCCCAGAGGCCCCTGCACCTCTGAGTGTTTGCACTCTTGCTGCCATCACTAGCTGTGTCAGGGGACTTATTTCATCTTTAAAGGGCAGAATATGTTCTTTTTCATTTTCTCTAATTAGAAGAGTTTACTCTCATTAGCAAGGGAATGATGGAGAATTCTTAGTCTCCCCCCAAATGACACCAATTTCTTATACTCCAGATCGTTCAGCCCAGTTAATTAGATGTGTGTTTTCAACTTCTAGGTGCATTTCTTCTTGGATTTAGATTTCTAGTCCATCTCAAAACTACAGACATGAGCCAGGTCTTTCAGCTTATAGATGGAGCCGGACGCCTAGGAAAACACTTTCCAGGAGAGCAGACAAACTGAGATCTGAATGGTGCTTTCACCCCTGGGGGCGAGTGGAATCTAGAGTCCGTGAACAAAAGGGCATTATCAGGAGCTCATCCAGCAAAGGACCCCAAAGTGAAGTCATGACAGCCTTCCCTGGGGTGTCTACAGAAATGCTAACAGCTCTGCCGTGAGTCTGCTGAACATATCCTAATATCTCTTTCACGTATTTTGTGTCTGTTCTCTCCCTCACTAAACCCTCCAGAGTGTGAGCTAACCCAAGGTACCCAAGGTAGGGACTTATTTTTCGTGGTCTCTGTACGTGGCACATGCTAGGACGTGGTAAGTCCTCAATAATTCAAGAGCATTTTTGCATTATGACTTTGAAACCACGGATGCTGGTGCTGCCCTTTGTCAGCTGTGCAACTACAAACAAATTACTTAGCCTCTGTGCCTCGTTTTCCTTTTCTATCCAAAGGGGATAATAACATTAGCTGTCCCTGGGTGTGTGTGTGGTGGAGGCTAGGCTCTGGACCAGGCCATCTCTGAAACACCCTCTCTAGGCTGCTCTCCAGAATGCTCAGGAAGCTGGGAGCTTCCAGATCTCCCGTGCAGCTAGGGCTCTTCTCATGAATCGGTCCCTCTCATTGGATGCCCAAGACAGGGAACATGGCAGCAAAGCAGAGGTCACCTTCTTTCACCTTTTGACTTGCCGGCAAGCAACAGGCACAGAGAGGCTGAGCCGCAAAGATGGCAAAAGTGACACTCGTTATTTCAGTGCCCACTCACCAGCTCCTGAGCATCGACAGACGACTGTGACCCATCACCCTCCCCAGGCTGGGTCCCAGAGACGGAGGGGTAACACTGAACCCAGTCATCCCAGTGACAGTCACCCAATGGTCCAATATGCAGACTGTTAGAGATCAGTTTGGTGATATTCTGGAATCTTCTCCAGGAATGCAGCCTGGGCTCCTCCAGCCTCTCAGTGACTCACCCTCGGTGCAGAACTCCTCCCTATGTAAGATACCGAGAGGGGACTCTTTCCTGTGCCGAGCCACAGCTGACAGAGTGTGTTATCAGAGGTGTTCGAGGGACTAGGCCCTCAGGAAGAGAATCTGGGGTTAGTTATCTGGCCTGGTTGGATTCGAAGGTGATGATAAACTGGTGACAAGGGGACACTGGTAGCCCATGGCACACAGTGACAAAGTAGGTACTTAAGTGGTGACCTTGAATGGTAGAAGTGGTGTACTGAGAGCAGGACTGTGGCTGCCCTGGCTGCCACAACAGACTCGTCGGGACACTAAGCAGGACTGAACAGGGGGCGTGCTGCCTCGAGCCTCAGAATTGGCAGCTCCACCTCTAAACCCTCCTCTGAGGACAGCGCGAGGGCTTGGGAGCTTCCACAACCACTGCCAAGGATCTCTCTTCTCTTGTAGCCAAAACTCAGATGCAGAAACTGGTTCTGCTGGAACACAGCTGCCTGGAGCCCATGGAGCTGCAGAGCCGGTGTCGGGGCAGCGCTCCTTCACCAGGACGAAGACACACTCGGGGTCAGGCTCAAGAAGAGTGAATGGAGGCGTGACTAGGTTGCTTGGGCAGGTGGCTCCCACTCGCAGTTCACCTGCGCCTGTGGCAAAGCTGCCTCCCCTCAGCACACACCTGGGGCTTCCTGGGGAATTCCCTAGGACCAATTCACTGAAGAACAGGTTGGGTTCTGGGTCCCAGAATATGGCAACCTGGCCGGAGCTGGTGTGGCCGCATTACAGACCCACGCAGCCTCACGAAGGGCAATGAGGAAGGAAAGGCAGGGGATTTGGTTGACTATCTTCCTGGAAGGAGAAATGGCAAGAGGCTCTCTGCCACTTATGGGCAGTGGTTGGCGGTACAATCTGACAATCAGGGACTTGGGAGGACTGGAAAACTGGTGGTGAGGAAGTGCAGAGAAGGATCTGTGAAAGGATCTTTCAGGATCCGCCCAGAGGGAGAGAACATGGTGCCCTGCTTGTTCATCAAAGAGTGATGATCATCACGTGGACAAATTGACCTGCACAGTGGAGCCCGGCGCCCTCCTTCTTTGGCTCCCCAGGCATGCTCCGTCAGCTCCTGCACAGAGTGGCTGAGTCACACAAAAGAGGATGCGAGCTCCACTTGGTCCACATAGATCTGGCTGCCACATTCTCTCAGGGCTGGGTCTGCCAGGAGCAGAGACCCAGGCTAACCTCATGCTCTGCATCATACCCCGAGGGACTCAGCCAGCCACCTGGTGGGGAGCTAAGGACACTGAGATCCTGTCTAGGAGATGGCCAGCCACGTGTCATCACCGAGATGGACACTTATTTTGGATAGGTTTTGTGTCTTGTCCGTCATTCTTCCAGTATCCCTTTCTGTGGACTTCTTGAGTGCTCCAACCCCAGAGCACTTCCTCCCAAAGAACTGATTTTATAGTAAAGACTTGGACAGGGGCTTCACCCCGAGGAATTCACTGTGTGGCAGGTGGTATATGCCACCGCCCCAGAGTACCTGTAGCATGGGAACAGCAGGACAGTTTCTGGAAGACTCCATTTGGGAGCCATCTGGGAAGCGTCCCCTGAGGTATTACCTTACAGGATGTCGACAAGTGCTTCAAGAGCAGACTGCAGACACCTGGGGACTATGGGCAGGAAGTGAGAGTGGCTCCCCGCCCTGGTACACCTGTGAATCAGGTGCCCTTCTTTGCACCTGTGGCTGCAAACATTTTGCTTCCCATCCCAGCAACTTGGGCATCTGCTGCCTGGGAGGCCCCAGGACCCAGGAGAATCCCCCCTGGAGTCACATGGCGGCTCCATGAGCTGAAAGTGGAGACCGCCACCTGGGTGTGTGGAGTTGCCCATGACGATGAGCCGACAGGCAACTAGAGGGCTCCCATGTGGGGTGCGGTGGGTGGTTATCGTCAAGGGCAAGGAGGTCGCCGTTACACAGAATCTGTTGGGGTGCCTGTCTGGGGCTGCCCCGGCAGGGAGAGAAGTCAACACAGCCCCGGCAGCCGCGTCCAGGAGGAGCTCCGAGGCTCAACCTCAGAGCGTGGCTCCCTCTGCCAGGTACGCCCTGGTGGGAGCAGAAGGAGCAAGGATGGGGAGTGGAGGGATTTTAAATACCAACAACAGCCTCGTGAGACAAAGCTCATCTCCTTCCCACCTCTGCCAAGTAACCATATTAGGTCTATCTATATTAACCAATTTCCTACTTTTTGCTATCAAATTATTAACACCACTTTAACTAAGGTATTTTGATGGGCATGGACTTCAATAGATCTAACATAAAGGATGCCATGTGGGTTGTGGTTGAATTCGAAACAGGGGTACTGTAGGGGGTGACTTCAGGAGAGAATATAAACATGATTTTGATTGCTCTGAACTCTCATGGAAGGAGGCTGCTGAGAGGACTGGGGAAGAAAATCAAGAGTGTGCCAAGCAGGAGCCTGGCTCTTGCTAAGTGCTCGGTAAATGGCTCTGGAGATGTGGGGAGCAGTTCCTGCTCCACCAGAGGCCTGGCTGGGGCCTTCCTGCTGTCCATCTGTGGGTAGCGTAGAGCAGTCAGGAGGAGCCTCCCGTCCCATCTGTGCTCTGACCTGAGGTCCAGAGGCTTTGTTAAGGAAATATGGCCCGACAGCCTACCTTCTTCCCACTGGTGGTGTATATCTGCCTCACGGGGAAGCGCAGGAGATCCGAGGCTTTGCTGAGAAAGGCCACCAGGCTCCTGGTGTTCCTGTGGCTGAGAACCACCGTCTCCTGGAACCTGGAGTCCCTGTTCTTAACCAGCGTTATCCTCCTTGGGGCTCTAGGTCCTTTCCAGGAAGAGGATGCTCCTGGCACCTCCCGCCCGCCATCCAAGTCCTGGGACTGAAGAGCAGAGGGGCTCCTCCCCCGCAGCTGGCCCGGCCCACTGGGGGTCTTGGGGGGCTTTCTATCTGAGCAAAGGTAGCAGCCCCCATCTTGTAGCTGCTCCAGGGCACTGAGGCCATGCAGGCCCCGGGGTGTGGTGACGGAGCGCACCCCAAAGGAGAGAGGCACTCGCTGGGAGAGCTCGTCCATCAGGGCACTGAAGGTCTTGAAGCTGCGCTGGTGCACGGCCAGGCGAACTCCTGCGAACCGCGCATCCCCGCGCTTGAGGAAGGTTATCTTCTTGGCTGGTGGGACGTGGGTGACAGAGGGCAGGAGGCACTGTGGGTGATTTGGGCCCTGGGTGTCCCTTGGAGAGCTGCTCATGACGCGGAGGCCCAGACAGCTGAAATGGCAAAGGAAGAGGGAGTCAGGGATTTTGTTGTCTGTGTCTCCTCTTCTTTATCGAGGGGCTTCCTACCCACTCCAGACTGGGCACCCCACCGGGCAGAGATGACTAACCCCTTCAGGGTGGGCAAAAGGGCAAAGGTTTGGCATTGGACAGGTCACCCATGTGGCCCCGGGGGGAATGACGCCATCTGGTAGGGGCAGCCCACCCCCACTGTGACTGCAGCTCCGGTTTTACGCAACGCGATGGTGAACTTGAGTTGATGCAGACGCAGCACCCGGCCTGGAGCGAGTGCCAAGTCTCTGTTCCCTTCCTTCCTCTTGCAGCCTTTCCACCCCCTTCTGCCAGCCCTGGACTTTGAACAGGTTAGTGGTCCGTCTTGGTCTTGACACAGAGTAAGATCTCGGGGCGAGGAGTCAGGGGACCAGCTGGCATCCCCCTCTCCTGTGGCCTGGAACCCCACATCCCTGGACCCTGTGCAGCTGCAGAGTGGGAGGGCTGGAGCAGAAGGTGCTGGTCCCAGTCCCTCGGGACAGTGGAGTAGACAAGGGGCCCTGAAGCTCTTTCTGTGACCCCAAGAGAAGCACCCCTCGAAGCCCTGAGTGTTCCTCCCTGGAGAGTGCAGCTTGCCGCCTCTCACTCCACCAAGTCCTGCACCTGCCTGATGAGGCCTGTGGGTGATCTTCCAGCCCACTGGGAAGGAGATAGGCCAGGCCAGCCGTGTAGGGTCAAGGCCATCCCTGCCCCGTCACACCCTGGCAGGGGAGCCCAGTGCCTCACACAGGACTCTGTGAAAGCCTCCCGCACGCCTCTCCTGTCCCAGGTCACGTGCTCTGCTCCACGCACCCGCAGTCAGGCTGCCTGAAACCCAGCTTCCGGGTTCCCCAGGATCTACAGAAAAGGCCAGGCCTTGCCCAAGGTTCAAGGGCTTCTCCCACAGGCCACCTCCCCCAGCCCCCTTGTTTCCTTCCAACCCCAGGGTCCTTCTGTGTGGCCCACCCTTTAGCGTCCCACCATGGGGTGAGCCCTCCTGGGAACCCCCAGCAGGTCCTCGTTCCGAGCTGCACCCTCTGTCCCACTCCACCTTGGCAGGACCTGCCTTCTTCCTAGCACCCACCCCTGCGCTGGCCCAGGATGGGGCCCGGGAAATGCACACTGAGAGCCCCTGTCGGCAAGCTGGCCGCTTTAGCTGTCAGAAGAGGAGCATCCCAGCTGCCAGGCAGTTCAGCGTCACAGCGTGACCCTCACTGATGTGCCCACTGAAGGGGACAGTCTCCCCTCTGCAGCTGTCGACGCGCACAGACGGCTACTGGGACCATATTTCCTCTCGTCCATCTCCCCTCCATTTAGCTCCTGGAGGGAAAGAACTCCTTATTTTCAAAATTTGGGTGTACGGAACGGACTTGCAGCCCTCCCTCATCTCTGGCACGGCTCTATAATTAGCTTCCTCGACCTCCTGTGTCCCCACTGATCCCTGCAAGCTGCTCTGTCTAGGCCTCCTCACGTCCTGCCCCTGATCAGGTGCCTCGAGGATTAGCCCTCAGGGACAGCTTTTCTTCCCACTTGATTTTATTTCCATCTGTGACTATGAGCATCCTTCTCGGCCCTTCCTAAGGGACCCAGAGGGAAAGGAAGCGTGACAGTCCCGAATGCCATCATGTCACCCAGCATCACCATGTCCTCCAGCAGGCTGTGTCCCCTAACACCACCATGTCCCCCAGGATGCCAGGACTTCTCCTGCTGCCCACCCCTGCCTTGCACAGAGGTCCTGGACTGAGACCTCGGGGACCGCAGCTCTGCTGAGCGTCCAAGGGCAGACCTGGCCTGGGGCTGAGGCCAAGGCCCTCCGTGGGCCTCGACGCTGCAGGTCCCAGCCACCCTGTCCTCTGGCGTTCTTCTAGAGCATAATCTCTCTCCCAACTGGAATTTCTGATCTTCAACTGGATTTTGGGAATAAAAAGAGACATGTGAGCTGAGGGATCCTAAATACCAAGATCAGTTTGAGAGCAGCTGGGGTGCCCTACAGAGGTGACCAAGCACGCAGCCTGAGGAGTGGCGGGCAGTCCTGTCTGCCCTCCTGATCAACGTGCCCGCACTTGTGTGACTTACACACTCACACCCATCCACACTCACTCACACACACTCACTCCTCCCACAGGCACACACTCATAGATGTGGATGGAGATGACTCCATCCACACTTGCACACACTCACACCCATGCACACTCATACCTATCCCCACACACACATGCACACACATGTCACCATGTATTTAGAAGCACACGTGTTCAGAGGGGATTTCAGGCCCAGGAGGCCTGGAGGAGCAGGGCTGGCTGGCGGCCCCGGCCTGTGGAGGTTGTGCGTGCGTGAGCATCACACTGCACGCGGCAAGCAGAGGTGGCACTGACCTCCAGCCTCATCAACACAGAGACAGGCAAAGCCTAGTCCCTGCAGAGTCACCTGCAAGTACAGCCTTCTCTTGCGGCCAGGGGACAGGAGACCAAATGGGGAAGGTTTTCCTCTCTGAAGAGGCTTACGGAGCCAAGTCCTCCACCCTGAGACCACCTGCCTCGTGGGTTACGTGGTCATTCACTCATGTATCTACTTTTCTTCAGCCTCTACCCTGGGTCACAGGAATGACCCACAAGATATGGCTTCATCTGCCGCATCCCCGCATTCTAGTGTGACAGTGGACATTCTCATGCACACTACTGTAACAATCCAGACCCCACACGCAGGGCATGTTAGAAAGCAGGGAGAGGGCGAGTCGCGGGGAGGCCTCCAGGAAGAGGTCACGTGGAGGCTCCAGAGAGAAGACTGCAGGACAATGTGGAAGAGGCTAGAACAGGCTCGACACAGAGATACGGCCTTGGCACCGCCACTGCCTGCTTGGGGTGGGTGGGTGGTGGGATGGTGGGGGAAGGTTTGACGCTCCCCAAGAGCCAGACCCACTGGATAGACTCAGTGAAGACCTGCAGCAAAGCGTGCCAACCCCAAATGTGAACTTCCCAGGAACAGGAGCAAAAACTCCTCTTCACTTTCACTTTTTTTTTGGGGGGTGGTGTACTAGGGATTGAACTCAGGAGCATTCAGCCACTGAGCCCCGTCCCCAGCCCTATTTTGTATTTTATTTAGAGACAGGGTCTCACTGAGTTGCTCAGCACCTTGCTGTTGCTGAGGCTGGCTTTGAACTTGTGATCCTCCTGCCTCAGCCTCCAGAGCCACTGGGATTTCAGGCGTGCCCCAAGGCGTCTGGCTCCCTTCACTTTAAGGACCTGAACTGGGAAGCTGCCATGTGGGGTGGAAGGAGCCTACAGTGTGGGCACAGGAAGCCTCAGCAGCAAGCACTGGCCTGTCGCAGAGGCAGAAGTCGGATCTGAGTTAGGAAGGGGCTGGGGCTGGGGGCCGGGCCCCTGCCGGATCTCCAGTGCGTCATAGAGTCCACAGGGGCCCACTGGCCCATTCCTACCTGCCGACAGGCCTTCAGCTGCAGGACACAGCACTAACTACCAGCCGAACAGAACAGGGCACCATCCACTTCCCCTCCGGACCCCTCCCTTCAAGGCTCCTGTCTGGAGCAGGACGGGAGAAGGCAGCTGAGCTGGGAGGACACCTGGCTGGCTGGAGGGAGGGCGCCCACCTGCACTGGGCTCCTCTTCTCCCCCCCGTCAACCAGGCTGACCTCCCATCCCAGAAGCACCGCAGAGGGAGAAGACGGCGCTGCCCGCTGTGACTCCCACCTGGGCCCTATGGCCAGCAGAGAAGGGTGTGCAGAAGGGAGGTGCTGGCCCCTCGGGGTGCAAGGACTATGGGAAGAGAGGGCAGGGACGAAGGGACAGAGGGGAGCCTGGCAGGTGCTCCCCTGTGCCCAGATCCTCTCCACTCCCAGCGCAGGGTGTGGCTGGAAAGCTGTGGCAGGTGTTTCTGGTGAGCACAGAGACAGGGCACCCTCCACTAGGGGGGGCCCAGGAAGCCAGGATGGCACCGCAGGGAGGAAGGGGCTGCAGAGGTGGGAGGGGCGGAGCCTGGGGAGGGGGAGGAGGAGGGGAGGGGAGGGGGAGCAGAGGGGCGCAGAGGCGGGGGGTTTCAGGAGGAAGCAGGAAGGCAGAGGCCTTCCAGCTGGGGACAGGGAAGCAAAGAAAAACAGATTAAGGGGCAAAGGGAGAGAAAATAGAAGTCACAGGAAACGCTCAAGAGGTGGCCAGTCCCCGCGTAGGAGCTGGCAGGGCCTCGGAGGAAACGGTTCAGTTGGCAGCCGTCCTGGGAGGGGCTAGGCTGGAGCTAGGGGCCAGGAGCCAGTGGGGCAGCAAGCATGGCAGATTCAGGAAGGGACAGAGGGTGAGAGAAGTCTGCAGGCAGGGTGGAGCTGCAGTGACAAGGGACAGTGACACCAAGGCCAGGCCAAAAGGATGAGCAGGACGGAGGGGAGACGGTGCAAGGCAGGTGGGTGTTACAGGTGGACCCTGAAAGAAGCCACTGGATGGCGTCAAGGCAGGGGACCATCTGGGCGGGGAACAAGAGCCACCATCACCAGCGGGGCACCAAGACCTCTGTGGGTCCCCACGGCTATGTGGGTCCACGCAGGCTGCAGGGTCAGCACGTCCTAAACACCACCTGCCAGCCATGCAGACTCGCTGCGGGTCGTAGGGAGCGTCATGAATTTAAGGACTAATCAGAAAGCCAGAGGGAAAATAGTGACAACCAAGACAGAGGGAGGCCATTTACGACAAAGCGTGACCCCGTTTTCAAAGACATTAAAATGCCACAAACCCCAACCTGTGTGCATTAGTGCCTCCAGGCTGACCAAGAGCTTTGCACCAGTTGTACCCATTAAGGGACAGCAAAATGGTCCAGCCACTAAGGACAAGGATATGCAGGTCCTCGAAACATTACCTGGGCCATTACCCCACGACCCAGCAATGACCCTTCTGGGTAAACTGCAAAGCGTGGAAGGAGGGACCAAAAGGAACGTCTCCAT